ACGTATTCCGTGGTGTCACCATGTGAGTAATGCAGAAGTTAGGTGTAGAGTTTTGGGGAGAAGAGGTAAGTCAGTCGACGAGGTTGTGAACCTTCATCGACTGAGATGGTTGGGACACGTACTACGTATGCCTAGTCACCGATTGCCTCGTCACACAATGTTGGCTGAGGTGGGTCAGGCTGGAAAAAGGCCCGAGGTGGCCAGACTAAAACATGGCACCAATGTATGAAGTCTCTGACTGTTGGTTTAAGCCATGTAGGACGATGCAGACTAGGTGGTTGGGGTCCACGGGACAAGAGGAACCAGTGGTTGGAGACCCTAGGTGATATGGCTCAGAACCGAAGTCAGTGGCGCAGATGTATACACACATTATCCTCATCTTAACAACGCTATACCGAATCTCACTATTTTGTCACTCCTCTTTCCTTTCTTCTCGTACTTTATATTTCTTTTGACTGCATTCACTTATCTTCATCCTTCACCTCACTACCTTTTTACTTGATGTGCTGATATGAGGTGTGGCAACTCGGACCGTTATTCAGTAATGCCTGGTCCTATGTTGATAATGATGATGATTTTAGGCAGTGAGCCACAATTGTTGTATAAGGGCTAATGATACTGTAGGAAACGACAAAACGGAGACGCAGGAAGGAATGTTTATTACTGACATCTTGTACAGTAGTCATCAAATATTGTATACTTTCCACTAAGAAAGTCATTTGCACAATGTGCTTCATTTCCTCCTCTGCTTCTATCTTGATTTGCTCTTAATACCCCCACATTGTTTCTTGCATTTCTCTGGGCAGAATCTTTACTCATTGCTGGTAATTGCCTATGGTTTCTGCCGCCTTCTCAACATATACTACTTATATTCATTCTGATCAGCAGCGCCCACTACAATACTACTTTACCGCTCGAACCTCAGTAAGTGGAGCGGGCAGTAGTGGCATTTTGTCCGTCTCTAGTAGTGACATAGAGATGGACAAAATAAGCGTTGAACCTCGCACGAAACTGAATCGTTTAGATTTGCCACACTTCACAGCAGCACTCAACAAACAAGTGAGTAGAGAAAAAGATACCAAAGTAGACGAAGATGTATTGGAGAAGGACTTGGAGAACCGTGGTAACTAAAAATGTTCAAGCTCTAGAGGGCATCAAAAAGCGAATACATCTACGCCATTGTGACCGACATTGAACCACGCCATCAATGTCCTCCAACCACTGGTTCCTGTCGTCTCAAGAGCCCCAACCGGGCAGTCTACACCTCCATATACAGCTCCTACCAGCATTTGGAGACTTCATGAACTGGTGCAACATCTTAGTCTGGGTACTCTGAGCCCTCAAACTCAATCCTACTTCGGCTAACATTACATGTTCAGGTGGGCGGTGGACCTGCATTCGCGAAACGTTTCTAAGACACCTCAGTCAGTGAAGATCCACAGTATCATAGACTGACTTGTTTGTTTCGCACAGCACCCTTCGCCTAACCTCGACATTATTCACACAGGGAATCCACTGTGTGAGTAGTGCTGCAAGTACACCTGTGTCCGAAAACCTGTTATCTCTTCACACATACTTTCAATAGCCATGTCTCATATTACTTCGGAAAAAGATTTAAGTGCTACACGCTCAAACAGAAAGTCGCAGTGGTTACATTTGGAGAAAGCCTCTACATGTAAATCGACTTACGCGTTTTCAAACTCAATTCTTACCGTGAATATCTCTTTAGAGATCCATAATCTTTTTAAACGTCACAATCGACAAAATGCAAAATGATTGTTGTTGTAAGAAGCTTGGGAAGTTAATATCTAGGCGGTATCCTAGTTATGAAGGACTTGATTCTTGTATCAATCCTTTAATGATCTTATGGGTAGTCAGTTCCAGAAAAAGCATGAGAGTAAGAGCTCGGATTTAATCTCTAAAACAGAATTCTGATGGGCAACTATCCCTCATCCTGTTTTTGATCATCGAACAAAAGTCTATGTGCACTGGATTATTTCCAGAGGGTTTGGGGGAAAAGGCTCAGATACCAACTTAAAGGTTGCTGAAAGCAAATGTATGGGTCAGTATGGCTTTCGAATCCTCATATAGTGACTTTTTGGTGTCATTGCCAACGCCAGTTAGCCGCCTTGAAAGTCCGATGTGGTATACCTTGTGAAAAGCCTTGGCGAAGTTAACAAGTACTGTATCAATCAGCAGTTTATACTATGGTATTATCCATTTGTTTTGTAAAATAAGTGTTCAACAACAGCCCAAGGAATAGGAAGCATATTCTGTCATCATTGGACCTCATAACTCTACAAAAAGGGCGAAATTTCCGTGTAACTTAAAACTATCCACCATATTTTGTTCAACGAAAAGTGTCAGTCCGACCAACTCAAAAATGCGTTTTTCCTTTGAATGGGATCTGCGATTTTTAGGTTTACTAATAAATTCATCTACTGTGATTGGATGCTTATTTCTGCTGTGTATACTATGCTACCTTCATATCTTTCTGCATTGACTTTTAAGCTGTAGCACTCACCTGTTCATGTTGAGTTTACGTTTTCCTTAGCGTTACCCACTCAAACTGTTTAACCCTCATTCCTGTGTCAGTGCATTGACCAGACAAGAGGTAAATATAAACAGGCTATCCACCTCCCTTTTAACTCTGACATCAAACGTCCTACAACACTAGTGTCGCAAGGTGGAGCTTTGACTAACTGGTTTAGGTTTGATCACCGTTTCCTCTACGGAGTTTGGGTAGCCGGGTAGTACCACTAGCCCCCATACCAATAGGTATGGCTCATTGCTTGCTGCACCTGTGTGTTCAAGATTACTGAATGAATTTCTCCTTTCTCTTTCTACTAGTGTCTCAGGTACCTACTGTGCATGTAATTTTGAATTTTCTCTATCATAAACATATTTGTAATGATTGTTTACACACTGAGTTATTTAGTTTTGGTAGTTCTTCCTTCAAAATTACTGCCTGTAATCACATCAATGCACGAATTTTTCGTGGATATAGTTCTTTATCATAATTTATTATCAGTAACAGAGAGCCATGCTCATTCGAAAACCCATAGACACCGATAGAAGTGTAAAAACTTGCGTCGTTATATAGTAGTCCAATTTGAGACCCTCCACATTTACTCAGCTAAGGGAAATCTACAAAATGCACCTAATTTTTAAATAGCAATGCAAATCGTCCAGGTGAATGAATGAAAACCACTGAAGCAGTCTTACGCACATTCGTGCGGCAGTCAATGAGCCACACCTATTATGTGAGGGCTAATGATACTAACTGACTACCTAAACCTCGGAACATGGAGTAGGCTTCGAACCCATCCCCAGTGGTTAAAAGTCATCCCCCTGAACCAGTAAGCCACAACTTCACAATCATTCCAGTACAGATATATACGTCAAATTGGGTCGGTAAAATCCTCGTGACAAGAATTGTTTCTAAGTGAATTTGTCGCTTTGAATGTCTTTTTCATCCCAGACACTGAGAATACTTCTTAGGGTTTCTCATATCCCTTTCTTACATGGCAACTTTGTAAAGTCCTTGAATTTCTTCTTACTTGTGTTGCAGTCATCGCTCACATTACATTAGACAAAATAATCTGATCTATTGAATACCTTGCCGTGACTCTGAGGTTAAGTAAATAGGTCAAACTAACCGATCGGTGTCAGTCAGGTTAGCAAAACAAAGACCTAGCTAAGTTTAGATAGAGAGACTCTACTAAGTAATCTAGGCAGGAATTCAGCGTCGCTATGCACACAATAATTTACAATAGGGTGGGATAAAATACAGTCCTAAAGACTTATATGGTTAAACAGCAACTGAATTTGATATCTGAATCCGCATTCATCGGTTTAGCACCTAACACATGTCATAAGGGTAATTAACCCTTACTACCAGTGGGATCAAAGAACGAAGAACATTAGAACTATGGAAAAAATAAGGAAGTTTTTTGATGACCTTGATATGAATATGAACAATAAATTGTGGTCAAAACGTCATCTAATAACTAATACGGTATCACTGTGTACTATATCAAATAGAATAATCTAATACGGAATTGCACTATGACAGTGCCCAAATTCTGTGCCTACGTAAATCCTCACCTGTCTTGGAATATTATGTAAACTTCTTTGGTGTGTTTACATCTCCTAAACTTGGAATCTACCATATTCTTGACGCTGTTTAAAGTAAGTGATTCACGCTTTAATATTTTGGAAAGCACCGTGGAAGTCCTCAAATGTATTGACCAAAATATCGGACAGCCCATTTTCAGATGTTGTGTGAGTGAGAGAGTATATTTATGTTGTGTGGTGAGATTTGCATAATTCTGTGTATATGGGCCTATTGTTTTAGTTGCTTGACAGTGACGGCTAGATTGATGTGATTGTTTTGTGTGTGTGTGTGTTCATGGGAGGGGTGTGGTGTACTTTAAGCCAGTGTGGTTGGTATAGTGTTATATTCCGATTGCTTTTTTTGTTGTTGGAAATATTGTGAAGTTGATAAGCGTTATGATTGTTAGTGCTGGTGGTACTGATAGTTTTCAGTATCCGAGCAGTGTGTATCTGTTGGTTGTCCTCTAGTTCATTAATTCATCAACTATTCTACTTTGTGTGCAGTTCATAATTCAAAGGTTAGTTTGCAACCATTTCCATCTCATTGTATTTCTAGGTAAAATCACATCAATATGCTAAGATGCATTGTTTCATGTAGTAGTTCTAAGATGTTATTGTGGCTCAGTAGCTTATAAATTGGCTTTTAACTGGGAATTTACAAGTCAGAATTCCACTCTACTTACACAGATTTAGACATTCAAAAAGTTCCACTAGTCATACATGATACAATAGGTATGATTTCTAGCCTAGTGCATGAAGCCATATACTATTTCCCAGTGGCACTACTTTATTTCTTCAGTGATTAAATTTTTTGTCCTGTCATGTGTAATAAATATGAGAACAGACTAACAAGTGTTTTGTTATTACGCACAATAATGTAGATCATGGTTATCAAGAAGAAAATTTCACTGAAGATTATCGTTATTGGAGATAGTGGGTATGTTGCTCGTTGAACAATAATACCAAGGTTATAAGTGTTGGAAAAACATCTTTGATATCTCAGTATATAGACAAAAAGTTTAGCAATCAATATAAAGCCACAATTGGTGCAGACTTTTTTACAAAACAAGAGGTTTTCGATGATCGTCTCGTAACGATGCAGATTTGGGATACTGCTGGACAAGAAAGATTTCAGTCTCTAGGAGTTGCTTTTTATCGTGGCGCTGACTGTTGTGTTCTTGTTTATGATGTTACTATGACAAACACTTTCAAGACACTAGATTCATGGAGAGATGAGTTTTTGGTGCAGTCAAGTCCCCGCAATCCTGAGAAGTTTCCATTCATTGTAATTGGAAATAAGTGTGACTTGGACAACAGAGCTGTAAGTAACTTATTTATGTTTCAAATATTTTGCATCCAAAAGTAGTAAGTAGGTAATAAAAGGAGTAAGTGCTTTACGGTAGACATTGTTATCTGTTTAGGAGCACTTTCTTGTTCATCACATATACATTGATACTCTATTTGTTGAAGCAAAAGCGTAGTTCTACTAATTTTCTTAGTTATTTTATAACTCGCTTAGCCTTTTTAATCCTGTAAATCCATTACTATCTAGAAAGACAAATTTATGTTTGGGTCAATTTCTCAACTACAAATTTAATACTATTTATCCAGTAAGCAATGATAACAATGATGAAGGGGGAACATCGCTACCAGTAGTTTTGAATTGTATTCACTTGGTACTGTTTTTCTCATAGAAAACTTCCCTCAGTTGCCTAAAGTTGACATTCATTCCTTAATTGTTCGATTTTGCCATTATCTGTAACAGCAAGTTTTCTGTTCATGGTAGAATTCCTTCGTTTCGCATAATGAAACCAGTCTCTTTGTTTAGTGGAAGTTCATTTAGTCTATCTTTTCAAAGTTGTTAAGTTGCTTAAAGGATTTCATTAATCTGCAAATGGACGTTTTCATTGACTTTGTTGTAGGCATATGCAAATTCATAGAGGATACAACTTTTGACCACTGGGATTTCCATTGCAATTACCAAAGAAACAATAAACAGTGTTTAGTTACTACGTATAAACTAGTCACAAACGTTTTTGCCTTTCATATTTGAATTACTCCTCAGCTGGAAGTGAAAATCTTTTCTCGGAAAATCACCAGTAGATTCAGTTCGCTCAATTCCAATTATTCACCACTACCCATATATTAAACAGTAGTTAACATGGTTTCTTAAATCACTTTTAAAATTATTATTATTATTATTATTATTATTATTATTATTATTATTATTATTAGTCCCTTGGGTTCCTAGTGGAACATAGGGCTTCAGTAGTACGTCTCCATTTCATCCTGTTCTCTGAGATCTTTTGAACCTGGTTCCACGACAGCCCACAAGCTCTCATTTCCTCCTCGCATGACCTCCTCCATGTCACCCTTGGACGTCCAACTCGTCGCTTCCCATGGGGATTCCACTCGAGGGCCTGACGCGTGATGTCCTCAGTCGGCCTTCTCAGTGCATGGCCAATCTATCTCCACTTCTTCCTGCATATTTGTTGCGTGATAGGTTCTTGGTTGCTTCGTTCCCAGAGTTCCTTGTTGCTTATTCTTTCTGGCCATCTGATCTTCAGCAGCGAGCGTAAGCAGTTGTTGATGAATGTCTGTAGTTTATTGGAAATGCCTTTCGTGACGCGCCAAGTCTGTGAGCCATACAGGAGCACTGACTTGACGTTGGTGTTGAAAATCCGTATCTTGTTCCGCATGCTGAGTGCAGAAGATCTCCACACTGGTTTCAGGCTAATGAACGCCTGTCTTGCTTTTCCGATTCTGACTTTGACGTCCTCGTCCGTCCCGCCTGTAGTTGAAACAGTGCTTCCTAGATAAGTGAAGGAGGTTACTTCCTTCAAGTTTCTCCCGTTGACGGTGATTGGAGTTTGTTGTTGTTGTTGATGGTGGTGGTGCGGTATCTTCATCACTTCTGTCTTCTCTATATTCACCTGAAGTCCCGTCTTCGCTGCCTCTTCTATCAACTTGTTAGTTTTTGCCTGCAGATCTTCAAGTTTATGTGACATTAGGCATAAGTCATCGGCGAAATCCAAGTCTTCTAGGTTCTTTTCCGTCGTCCAGTGTATCCCCCTCTTCTCGCTGCCTACTGTTTGCTGCATGATCCAGTTGACCACAATCAAGAATATCATGGGGGATAGTAGGCAACCTTGTTTCACTCCTGTCTTCACTTCAAAGGCATCACTGAGCTTCCCATTGTGAATCACTTGGCATGTGGCATCTTCATATAGTTGTTGAATGAGGCGGATAAAGGTTTGCGGCACTCCGTAGTAATGAAGCAGCTTCCAAATTACCTCTCGGTCGACGCTGTCAAAGGCCTTCTCAAAGTCGATGAAGTTGAGGTGGAGAGGTGATTGCCATTCTATGCTCTGTTCTATGATGATGCGAAGCGTTGCAATTTGGTCTGCACATGATTTGTACTTCCTGAAGCCTGCCTGTTCCGGTCGTAGTTTTGAATCCAGTGCATCCCTTAGCCTCTCCAGGATGATGCGGCTTAATATTTTACTTGGGGTGGACAGGAGAGTGATTCCGCGCCATTTTTTTTTTTTTTTTTTTTTTTTTTTTTTTTTTTTTTTTTTTTTTTTTTTTTTTTTTTTTTTTTTTTTTTTTTTTTTTTTTTTTTTCACCTTCTGCAATAGTGGTGTGAGCATGGCCGCTGTTGTCTCTGCATCTGTTTTCAGTGCTTCTGGCGGTATTCCATCTGGTCCTGCTGCTTTCCCACATTTCAGTAGCTTTATGGCGTTCAGGACTTCCATTTTCGTTGGGGGATTAATGTTCACTTGTAGTTCAGCGGCTGCAGGTGGTATTTCTGGACGAAGTGCAGGTGGTGGTCGATTCAAGAGCTTCTTGAAGTGGTCGGCCCATCGTTTCCTCTGTTTCTCTTCTTTTGTAATTAAATTTCCTTCTTCATCTTTTATTGGTTTCATCTGTGTTGGTCTCTTCCCTGACAGCAACCTGGTTATTTGATACAATGTCGTCAGGTCTCTCTTACCTGCAGCCTGTTCTGCTTCACTTGCCAGTGTTTCGTAGAAGTGTCTTTTGTCGTTGCGTGCACTCTTCTTCACTTCTTTGTCCAGTGTTTTATACATTGTGCTCAGTTCCTCTTGTCGTTGAGCATCCTTGCACTGGTTTATCTTCCGCTTCACCATCCTCCTCTCCTCTATCAGCTTCCAGGTATCCGTCGAGATCCATTCCTTGTCTTCCACCTTCTTCCTTCCTAATACTGTTGTGCAGGTTTCTTTCCACATAGCTTTCAAAGACTTCCAATGTTCTTCCACACAGGTTTCTTCAGGGATGTTGCTCGATGTCTCCCATTTTGTCTTGATGGCTGCCTTGAAGATCTCCTTTGTAGTTTCATCCTTCAGTTTCCGAGTGTTGTACTTGAATTGAGGTCTATCACCAGCTTCCTTGAAGGCTTTTAACTTGATTTGGAAGGTTCCTTGCACTAGGTAGTGGTCTGAACCTACATCTGCTCCTCTTCTTGACCTCGTGTTAAGTAGACTGCGTCTCCATTTTCTTGAGATTGAGATAAAGTCGATTTGATTTTTAGTGTGTCCATCTGGTGAAATCCATGTCGCTTTGTGGATATCTTTGTGCCTGAACACACTGCCTCCAATCACCAAATCGTTGAATGCGCAGAATTCTGCAAACAATTCTCCATTCTCATTCATTTCACCTAGCGCCTCTCGACCCATGGTTAGTTCTCTTCCCGTGTTGTCCCCTCCCAGTTTGGCATTCATGTCGCCCATCAGAATTTTGATATCGCCAACTGACGTCTTGTCCAGTGTTGATTGAAGTTGTCTGTAGAAATCCTCCTTTTTCTCTTGCTCTGCATTATTTGTAGGTGCATAACATTGTATGATTGTGACCTTTCTTCCTTTTGAGTTGAATCTTGCTGTCATGATCCTGGAGGAGATTGGTTCCCACTGCATGAGAGCCTTCGATGCTCTTGAAGACATCATGATAGCCACTCCCTCAGTGTGCTCGTGGTTGGCGTCTGGGTGACCGGAGTAGATTATTGATTCTCCAGTTGACAGTTTGGAGAGTCCACTCCCATTCCATCTGCTTTCGCAAATCCCAAGCACTTCGATGTTATACCTTCTCATCTCCCTTGCAATCTGGGCTGCCTTACTGGGTTCAAACATCGTGCGGACATTCCATGTCCCCACGTTTACTTTCGCTTTCATCGAGAGAAGACACATCGGCCAATTGGCTTCCCGAAGGCTTTCACCAACTGGCGTCATTTCGCCTCTCCGATTCCAGCGGGGAATAAGTTTGTTTTCATTTTTTATATTTTGTTTGTGCTTTGAAGTTTCTTTAGCGGTTAGATTTGTTTTACGGGGTAGGGTTGCTAGCCCTATGCCCAACCTTCCCTCTTTACCCGGGCTTAGGACCGGCTAGTAACTAGTAAACTAGTTAACCAGGCGAGGTTAAAATTATAAGTGATAAAATATTCGAAATGAATTTTTGTCCACTCAATTCACACTTCGTTTGATCTCCAAGTTCATAAAAGAGAGCTTTTAGGAACAAGGTAATTAAAAAGCTCAGTAAACTTTTGCTTCATAAACAGAAAGACACACAAAATCAACGTTAAACCTCTCACACAAATGCACTAGTTCCGGTTGCCACTTAACAAAGAATAAGTGGATAGAAAGAAAGCTAATGTCTAAGGATACGAAGTTGTGTGAGAGAATAAACAAGTTAAAGATAAATAGTCAGTGGGAATATTCAAGGTTTATAAGACGTCAAAGAGTGGGCCACTGTGACCGATTTTCAGCCTTATCACCAAGAGTCTTCAACCATTGGTTCCTATCATCTCGAATACCCCACCCAGGTAGTCTTAATCTCTCTACCCGACTCTGACCAACAGTCAGGGACTTCATAAACTGATGACACGTCTTGTTTTCACCGCCATTCAACCAATGCGTTTACGAGAAAGCTTGGTTTATCTAGTGTACTATCAGGAATAACGTGTCCTCTGAATTACGTATCACTTCGCCTGTTTAGTTAAACTGTTTTCCCGGGTATCACAATTATTATTATTATTATTATTATTCTACGAATATTCATTTGCTTGCTTTTTTTTATCCTGTTACCTTGCCCCTTAACGTGGTATTATGGTATGTGGCAACTTTGACTGTTCTGTGATAACTCCAGGGTTTAAATTAATAGTGACTAATCCGGCTCTATACCGGACGACGGAATAGTAGCTGAAGGCCAGTTGTCGAAGTGTTCTACCCATCGGTCCAGTCGTCTGCCCATGAGTTAGTCATAGACACATCCTTCGCCGCTCTAGTTTCATTGACCACTAACCTTTTCGACACAGTTTGCTTGGTAAATCTGAATAGCCACCTTGTTGAATGAACAGTAAGAACTGGGAAGGATAGCGACACGCATCAATGTCTATTTGAAGTCTCTGCCTATGTTCCCAACGACTGTAGTTTGGATGATACAAAGGGTGAATTCTATTCGAAGCAATCAGTTTTGCTAGGAAGAGTAAAACGTTCAGAAACAATTACAGTATCAGTTAATTTCACCGCTCCAGTAGGGAAACTGAGCTAACTGGAAAGAAATTTTGAGAGTATCTACGGTATCTCATGCCAACAAACCTACAATGATATTTGTGTCTTGCAACTTTGTTCTGGCAGTTTCGTGTTGCTGCTTGTGTTGCGTTCTCTGAGCTGGGTGATTTGGTCGTGAAGCTTTCATTGTCTTTCTGGATAACATTACCAACACTAACTTGAATATGAAATGAGCTACCTGGATTTCTTCGTGAGGGATTCAGTAGCTACCCATGACGTCGTTTATCGCTAGGACTAACTTCAGGCATACAAAGAGATACTGTCTCATTTGACGTCTGTCGACCTCCAACCAAAGATTGACACAGACAGGTCATATTGCAATAATCCATCGTTGGAAAAGATAGGTGGGGAGTTGCTATCATTTATGGAGTACTTACTTGGACTCTCATTACATATTTGTACGGGCACGTGTATTTTTGCGCGCCTTACTAGGAGCGGAAAACAGCAGTGAAATCTGATCGTTTGATTAGAAGATGAGAACGCGAAGTACACCTTTAAGGAGGAGATAGCTAAGTAGCAATCCTTATCCTGAGGAAAGCTGCTACTATCGAAACAGAGCAGAGGCCAAGGGACAGTTACTCGAAAATGGTCAATCACGGTGTGTTTAGCGGTTTAAAATTTAAGTTTGTTATTTTTTACTCCGGTTATGAACGCATATTGCTGCCACCGGGGTAGAGTGAACTGTGCTATTTTTAGGACCTTTTCTAACCCTCTGCACATAAGGAAGGCAGCATCAGCTTGGTGTTGCTAGTCGTCCACAGGAAGCACTTTACTGCTTTCATACCTCTGTTCAACCAGCAGTTTGATTTCACCCTCTGATCTCCATCATAGCGTAGTAATGTACACTATAACAGTAAGTGCTTTTATCTTACTATTCAACTAATCTTTTTGGTATAGTAGGACCTCAAAGGAACAAGCGTTCCACCAGCATGGTTTATTGGCTCAATGCACTGACTTCAAACGCAGTTCGCAGTGGATCTAGGGGTCTGATCATTGCCTTTAGAGTATCATTTTCACCATATGGAATAGCTGGGTGGTTGAACTAAATTTTAGCCTTAAGATCACGTATTATAAAAGTAGGCCGTTGGATGAAAATAGAAAGGGACTATTTTCGATGTGTATCTGTTATTCATTCAAGTTTCACGTTTCAATACTTGAAGTCTGTTTAGTTTTTTATTGATACATTACTGTGTTATCAACTTTCTTTAGTTTGTGTTTGATGTAGCAACCTAGGTCAGGTTTGAAGGTTGCCAGGCTTTTTAGTTGAACAGAAAACTGAATCAACTTTAGTACCTAATGTTATTTCATCAGCTACAAGTTCTCCACAATAAATAAATCTACGTGATAAATAATTTTACAATAGTTGGTGAATCATAGATTATCCAACAGTTTTGATATAATTTATATTCTTTGATAAACTCAATCTAAGTGTACACACCCTAACTAACGAATATTTATAGATGCAATTTGACAAAATGAATCTTGATACTTGACTATGATTGAAAGTAAAATGAGAATTTGAATCGTGGCCAGATTCAAACCAGCGACCACCGGGTTTCCGGCCTGGTGCTCTTCCAACTGAGCTACGAGATCTGACTGCTGACCAGGTTTTTATTTCACTTCAATCATCAAGGGTTTTACCCGACTACTGCCATGTGAATTTGTGACGCTTTACTATCGCTTGATCGTACTCCCACTGGTTGCCTAGTCAGGACTTTTCATCCCAATCCAAATCTAGCTGAATTAGGAAGGGGGAGCCTCTTATTGGAATGAGAGGTCCTGACTAGGCAGCCAGTGGGAGTACGATCAAGCGATGGTAAAGCGTCACAAATTCACATGGCAGTAGTCGGGCAGAACCCTTGATGGTTGAAGTGAAATAAAAACCTGGTCAACAGTCTTACCTCGTAGCTCAGTTGGAAAAGCACCAGGCCGGAAACCTGGTGGTCACTGGTTTGAATCCGGCTGCCATCCAAATTTTCATTTCACCTTCAATCACCACCCAGTATTTGATACTAATCTGCCAAACTACGGCTATCTCAGATAGGCAAAGTGATAAGTGAATGTTATTAGTACCAGTATTACAATTTAAACTGAACTTGTAGAGTAACTGTCGGTGTCTTCGTTAACATTCTTTAATCTTAGAAATGCGAATTACTTATAACTTTTTGTTGATATACTTGTAGTTTTTCATTGTTACACTAGATCGAATTGTTCGACCTCTGTTAACGTATCGGCTCCTATGCGGATGCCACAATATTGCCTGAATATTTATAATGGTAATTTACTTGGTTGTAGCTAGTAGAGGAATCCAGGACACGCGTTTCGTCCTATTTGGGACTTATTAGCTGGGTGTACCTGCACCCCAATGAGTGTTGTTCGCAGTAGATACTAGGTACATCCAGCTGACGAGTTTTAGATGGGAGGAAATGCACGTCCGGGATTCCTCTACTAGTCTCAATCAAGTGAATTACCATAATGTGAATTACTCTTGTGAACTCTTTGATAATTCTAGCTTACTTTCTATTATATTCCTGTGTAATTGAGAAACAATTTAATATTAATTGTTTGAGTCTTCCAAAAATGTCATTTATTTTACTCCTAACTAGTCGCTACCTTTAGTGGTAACGGTGACTTCCATTTGATTTTTAATATAGATATCTGAAAATCGTGCCCGACAGTGGTGTCAGGCTAATGGAAATCTTCCATATTTTGAATGCAGTGCCAAAGAAAATACAAACGTGGAGCTGGCTTTTGAACATATTATAAGAGTGGCTATTGACGAGGAATCTGCGGTAAGTCTTACTGTTTCATTAGATCAGCTATTTTACCGTTGCTTTCTTATAGTTAGCATTTGTATGGGAAAATTGTAACAACTGTAAACGATGGAATGGTTCTCAAGTATATTTTCATCTGACCGTTTAACGGCTGCTTACCTAGTAGATGCTACAGCCTCGTGGTGATCAGGTTTTTCTATCTTAGCGACCTATCTGAACTACACAAACTGGAAGATCCCTTCCTTGAGTTCTTTCTACTCCAGACATGTTAACTATAATGTAAAAAGATGAAAAGCCATTAGTTCAAAAATATCCTGTCACAAAGCGAAACCATACTAACAATTATAAAGTTATATTTCTGCAAGACAATCAGCATGTCGATCCCTTGCACCATAGAATTTGCTGTACTTGGCCTCCAGTAAAGCGTCCGATAACTGTGGGCTCTAAGCTTTTAGACATGATGTTAGTAGTCGTCACAAGATTTCTCGCCTTTCTTATAAACCTGAATGGTTAACAATGTAGACCAGTTTAACAGGACTACTTGTAAATCCCATCACGTCCTGCATCGTCTCGGAGTTGAAACAGCCTTCTCAACTTTGAGGAGAGTTGAAAAACCAAAATCTACACTCCAATCAAGTTCGAACCAGATCATGGTCAACTGAAGGGTTTCTGTGGGCCAGTTGAACTGTGTTTCAAAGTGTTCCACCTACCGTTCTAGCCGCCTGTCCTGAGAGGTTATTGGAGTGGCATCCTTTTCGTTGATGGTCTCACTCACCATCGTCTTCTTCTTGCATGTGTCCTTAATAAGCCTTAAGATTGTCGGGTATTACCTAATGCTGATGCCTTGTCCATCTCGCCGGCTTTTGCCACCCACCACTGCTCGCGGTCATTGCAGACTTAGTCAATTTGCCTACGTTCGCTCTTCGTTGTGGTCAAAGCCAACTGTAGTGAGTTTTTTGACATGGACCATTTCAGATGACGTTGAAATCCATTGGTTTGCTAACCCTTGGATGTAGGTTACCTACTGTCCATACCGCTGTTTATACAGCAGACTTAACATCACGTCAGGTTTCCTCAGAACGAGCATTGCTGTCACGTCTAGATAAATGCTTAGGTATCTCCTCCCTAAATACATGTTTCACGTCTTCATCTTCTTATCGAGCTTACTCGGGCTTCACTACTGTCTGTTCCTGCTCCTAGTAAAGCTCACGAAAATGCACGTACCCATACTAATATGTAATGAGGGTCCAAGTAGATACTCTGTAAATAGTAGCAATCCCCCACCTACCATTTCAACGACGGTCTATTGCAATATGATCTGTGTATGTCCATCATTTAGTTGGATTTTAGTGGATGCCATGTGAGACAGTGTCTCTCCTTGTGCCTAAAGTTAGTGCGAGCCAAAAACAAGTGATTGTCAGGATAAAATTGTAACAGACGATCGCCGTTGTCGGTTTATTGGTCTGGGATTCCATAGATGCCCTATCTCCCAGGCTTAGCTTTCCTAATTGGACGTTAAAGTCCCCTGCTGTTATCACCATATCTGAACGTTTTGCCTTCTGTAGCAAGTTTGACAGCTTTACACAGAATTCATTCTTTGCATCATGCAAACTGCAGTCGATGAGTGCGTAGGTGGAGATTACTTAGAGGTATCGCCTAGTTTCACGATCCTCCCTAGTCAGACCCATCCAGTCGAACAGTATATAGACGACTGTTTACTAGTATTCAATCGAAAAGCTCACTGTCTGTTTGAGAACTTAATGCTACGCTTACATCAACGAGTCCATGGGAGCTAGTCCTTGGGTCTCTGGATACTCGTAAGGTGAATTTTGAAGACTCACCACACTGATCTGGTGAGGTCAATTTCATAACCGCACTCGGGTCCTGTGTACATGTCTCAGAAACACAACATACATCCATAGCTCGAGATTCCTGAGTTTTTGTGAGCGATACATGCTGTCGGATTTGGCAAAGACTTCAGACGTTGTAAACCCCAGTATGAAATCAGTGATATGGTCTTGGGAGACTAGAAAAGAGGTTTCGATGGTTTAGATCGTTGACAGTGATTGGAGAGTGAGAGGTTGGGAAAGTGGTAAGAGACTTAGTGTTGTTGTCAGAAGGTGAACGTGGAAGGGGAGACAAAGGCAAAGCCCATACGTTATGTTTGACTGGATACTACTGGAAGCGTGAAGTCTGTTGATACTTCTCAGTTGCTAACACAGTGGAGGGCTATTTCTTCTCAAGGTACCTGAAAGAGAAAAAGATTTGTATAACCACAGAACCAATGGGACATCTTCCTAAGGCCTGTCACACACGTTTTGAAGATTGTTGGTTTGAAGTTCAGTTGTGATGTTGGGTGGGGGAATAACCCATCGACATTAGAAGACTTGAGGGTAGGGAGGGGTTTTCTAGTACACCCTATTTAGCCAGCAGTACAACTTCGCCTTCAGGTCCTATCATAACGTAGAAATTTACACTATAACAATAACTACTTTTCGTCTAACCACTATTCAATAAACCTTTCTGGCATGGTGTAACTTCTAGAGGACAAGCATTCCAACCAGCGTAGCTCATTAAGTTGCTAAGATATGCAATTCGGATCACCATGTGAAAGCAACCGCTGCCAGTCTGGTTTATCTGCACTGAAACTCTGAAAGCCACCAATCCACATGGACATGTTTACTATTTCACACCCGCTTATGGAACATAGTTACAGACTAGTCCTCAAACATTTTGTTCTTGGAAGCTGAGAAATACTATCGTATATATTTCATCAGGCTTGTTTTACTTGAAGGATATGTTTATGAAGTTGAGAAAATACTCTTATCTCTGACATTATATTCGTGATAAAAATGAAACGAGTGGACATTCCAACATAATCGTCTTAGTGGCCTAGTGGATAACACTTTGGCATTTAAAGCGGTGGGTACTGGATTCGAGTCTCAGCGGGAACATCACTCACTGGGGTGCTTGTGCATCGGAAGAAACACGCGTCCTAGATTTCAGTGCAACATACTTCTGAATTTCATGGGTGGATGAATGTTAAGTAACCACTACTCTAGTAACCTACCGGTTTTTTTTAAACCTGTAATGTAGGTAAACTAATAGTTTGCATTATATGCTAAATCGTATTACTTACTAGTGATAACCGTTTTCACAGATTACTCTGTCTAGAATCACTTAACTCGACTGATTCTACTACTTACTATCTGAAGATTATTACGTGTGATTCACATGCTAGTCACATTTAATAACCCGGTAGTTATTGATGAAATATATACATTTCTATTCATGGATAAGACTGGAACTTACTAAGGTTTTTCGCTTAGTTTTTCTCCTGTATGCAAGAATAAGATGAATACTGCATACACAGACATCCTGTCAGTAAGTATGATTGAACCTATAAAAGTTATTTCACAAATGGAATTTCGTGTTTTTTTTCTCTCTCCCTCTCAATATAATTATCAACTGAGCTAGACACAAATATATAGTGCACTTTTGTCGATAGGACAGTATTGATCTCTCAGTTTTTGCAATGTATATTACATATACGTCATGTGTAAAAATTTAGCGTTTAGTATTGATCAATGTGTTGAAAATTATGCTGATGGTTAACTTGTTTCATTATCAGCTATGTAAAACTGAAGTTTTTCTCGTATGAATGTGACGAATGTTCCAATTCACCTTAGTTATTTCAGTAGTTCTTACCATGTGATCAAAACTTGCCGATCGACCACTAAGTTAAGCAGCTACAAATCGTGCTATACAACTAACTAGCTTTTACATCCGACGACACTTATCAAACATGTTTCCTCGTAGACAGATCAATAAAATCAACGTGGAATACGCTTCAAAAAGAACAAGTTTTATAGGACATCAAAGAGTGAATACATCTGTGCCATTTTCAGCCTTGTCACTAAGAGTTTTCACACATTGATTCCTGTAATCTTGAGTACCCCAACTAGGCAGTTTACACCTCTCTACATGGTTAAGACAACCAGTCAGGGATTTTATGCATTGATGCCACGTTGTGGTCTGGCCACCCTGAGCCTTCTTCCAACTTAATCCAACTTTTCCTAGCGTGACATGTCGAGGTAGGTGGTGGCTCAGCATACATATTACATGCTCAAGCTACCTCAGTCAATGAGGGTTCACAAATTCATCGACTAATTTGCCCTCTTTGCATAGTACCATTTACCTAATCTCAACATTGCTCACATAGTGATTCCAGCATACATGAACAATGCTGCTGTCGTGGTTAGGCGATAATCTTTCTGAAACTTGTTTTCTTTGAAAATTGAGCTTTCAGTGTTCACAATGTGGCCAATAGACCGATAGTTGCTACCTTAACGTGGTGGTCGGGCTTGCATATCACAATGACGCAACGAGCTATACTGGTGGAACACTTGTTCCCTCGAGGTCCTACCATGCCAGAAAGGTCTGTTGGATACTGGTAAGACGAAAAGCGGTTCCCGTTATAGTGCAAATTACTACACTATGACGGGGATCTGAGGGTGAAGTAATGTTTTCCTTGGATAAAAAACAGTGCCACACTAATGCTGACTTCTCAAAGGAAGGGTGGGGGTTAGAAAAGATGTTTGTTGATGAAATCTAAACTTGGATAGAGAAGACCTGTTTGGCACTTGCCAACTTGCGTCATCTGTGGCGCCGACTTTCGAGATATCCGCCTATGTCAAAGGACGAGTACATTGTTTTGCAGTTTGTTGTATCCTGTTGTACGATCGTGAGACATAGCCGTTAGATGTAGAAGACATGATGCGATCAATGAGTATTTCTGGCATTTGGTGGTACCACCATGTGTGTAATGTTGAGGTCAAGCGAAGGGTACTTCACACGAAAAGCACGTTGATTGATGAGGTTATGAAGCTTAGTCAACTAAGGTGGCTTTAACATATGATCCGCATGCCTAGCCCCCGCCTACCTTGTGATGCAATGCTTGGGGAACTTGGTTCAGGTTAGAAGAGGACTGATTGTGGCCTTACCATGACGTGACACTAGTGAATGAAATCCCTTAATGGTTGTCTTAGCCGTGTATGAAGGTGTAGAGTGTGTAGCTGTAGTTTCGAGCTGGGATGAATCAGTGGTTGAGGACTGTTTGTGAAATGTTTAAAAATCGATCACTATGGCGCAGGTAGGTGTATTCACTCCTTGAAATCTTCGAATACTTAAATATTTGCACCCACCATTATCTTCAATTTGTTTATTGTCTCACAATATTTTACTGTGTGTTTATCACTGGTTTCTGTTGTAGACAAATCTTCACTCCGATTATCCTGACAGTATTCGACTTGGAGCTGATGAACCAAGCAACCAAGATAGATGCAGATGTTAAAGTCATTAAATGATATTTAAAACAACTTTTTTTTTTCTCTATTCCCATCGATATCACCAATTATCATTAATTTTAACTGATATTTACTTCATCTGATTATAACAATCATTCATTGTTAATCATATTCACATATTTATCGCTTAAGGGTAACTTGAAATTATTCAAGCATATTCATCTTTCTTTTTGTGAATAAGTCTGTTGTTTTTGCGTTGAGTAAAATACGTCAGTACAACCTCCCAGTGATGAAATGATCAAGTAATTATTTTAGTGAATAATTTTGAACTATACTTCTTTGTAATTGTTTCATTCTACTTTCTGATTATTCGGCACACATACCCATCCACTATTATTATTATTATCTGGGTAAGTGTTTTATTCCCCCTATGTTACCCCAAATTCATCTTTACCTCATATGTTATCTGTCACATTTACACGTTTGCCTGTACAACTGAGATATAAGAAAAAATGAAGATAGAATAGACTAATTTCCTCTGAAGTAATAATTATGATGAAAAGTAGTAATTCTTACAGCATACCGTTTGTACACAGTATGATAAGAAACTATTGTTGTCGATTTGCGGTTATCACCGCAATCTTTTAAATGTTCAATTTGACGAACGACTACAATTGTCAAAATTTTCAAGTTTGTACTTATGGAATTGGTTGTTGTTTCTTGCTTGGATAATTTTATTGAATTTTCTGATTTCACATATGTTAATTTGTATATAAATATATACGCATACATATAATTTATGTTCATACTGAGTGTAATTATTACATAATTTATAGATTGTTTTCCTTTTGATCTGTTATTATTATTTAACGGAATGAATGATTATTGATTTTTACGGATTTCATTTTGCACCTATATATATATATATATATATATATATATATATATATATATATATATATAATAAATTCTTGCGCATGCCAGGTATATGTGTATCGATGTAAAGCAGCAGCAGCATACTGGAGCGGGAGTGGTAATTGCCTTCATAGAGTATGGTCTTAACCAGTGTAACTGAAGTGGTGGGATATCACAGGCAGTACAAAGTTGTTACTATTCACTGATATGTTTGTAATTCTCTATTTTTACACTGAATTGAATTGTTCGACCTCTGTTAACATATCGGCTCTTATGAAGATACCTCCATATTACTTGAATATTTATTATGGTAATTTACTTGGTTGTTACTAGCAAAGGAATCCAGGATGAGCGTTTCGTTCGATTTGGGACTTATTAGCTGGGTGTACCTGGGCCCCCATTGAGTGTTATTCTCACTGAGATTAGGTATATTCAGGTGACGAGTCTAAGATGGGATGAAACGCACGTCCATGATCTCTCTGCTAGCTACAACCAAGTAAATTACCATAACAAAGTTGAACTTATACGCCATATAAGAAGTGTAAAAGTCAAGAAGGCATCAATATTTGACAAAATTTGCTAGATTTTTGGATTTGTTAGGGGCTCATATGACAAACCACCCGTCAATCTACGGCATATGATCAGTGTGAACTTTCAAATCGAAATAAACTCGTTGAAGGGTCGCCACCACAGTTTTAGAGTAGTAGCATTGGGCAGAATATATACGTAATTTAGTTTATCGTTATTCAGTCAAATAAAATGGAGACCAATCCTCGAACTCTTGAAGAAGTTACGAGCCCTACGAAACTAATATGAAGCCAAACTTAGTTGAATCACCTTAGAAAGCATTGCTAGGCGCGCACTCAGGACATACTATTTAACTGGTTTGTAGGGAACATTGTTCTTTCAAACTCACCTCTATCCTTGTTCACTTCGTCTAAAAAGAAGAGAGAATATTTTTGTGTGATAATGAAAGACGTTACTCTAGTAGACGCAACATGCAACACCTTACAGTTCGTTGTCATTTATCACCTACATTGACCTAGAGAGACCTAGAATATATTTAGGTGAAGTTATACGTGGACTGACAAGATCCTAGAAAACTAATACCTGAGACTTACTGTATTCCTTGACCTGTAGATGACAATTGATCCTATCGATTAGATCATATAGGAATGTCTCATCGTGAAACGGGTGCCTACATCCTAACGTCCGCAAACATTGATGAATTTCCGCAACATCATCCGAACTGATTGATACGAGGAGATTCATTCCAGTTGGCTCTGACCACAATGAAATGCAAACGCATCTGAAAAGTATGTTGACTAAGAGTCTTCGCAGTGATTGTGAGTAGTGGTAAGAGACGAAAGCTAGAGATGGACAAAGCATTAGTAATACCCGACAACTATTAAGGCTTAACAAGGTTACTGGCAAGAAGAGGATAGTGAATGATGTCATCAAGGAGGAGGATGAGGCCCAAATGACCTCGCGGGTCATGCAGCTAAAACATTGGGTGAAACACATTAAAGCACAGTCCAACTAGCCTACAACAACGTTTCAGTTGTTCAACATCCAGCCTAAACCTGAATAGGATGTAGATGTCGATCCTCCAACTCTCGTTGAAGTTCAGAAAGCTGTATCAAACGTGAAACGATGGAAAGCAGCAGGACCTGACATTTTACTACCTGAGGTTTTCGTGGATGAAGGTAGGAAGTTGGTAATTGAAGTGACGGAGGTACTCGGTAGTGTATGGGAATCATAAGTAATGCTGTTAAATTGGTGTACTTCACTGATAATCGCAGTCTATGAGAAGGGAGAGAAACGTTCATGTGGCAAGCATAAGGGAAATAAAGTTAACTAATATTGTGACCAAAATCCTAGCATCCATAGTTATCCGACGCTTAACTGGAGTTTGAGAAGAGCAAACTTGAGGAAGCCAGACAGGTCCCAGATGGACATGGACGAGGGTACGTCGATCTTATTTGTACCCTCATTGTTCCTGTTCATCTGTGTTGTAGATGTATTAGTGAACATAACTTTATGTATGTTTGACTTTACAAGGACTGATCTACCCTGCAGGGCTTGTGGTTGACTTAGAGTACGCAGACGACATTCTCCTTCTGGTGTGAATGCGCTGACAAAATGCTGTGACTTGTCGACGCTCTCAACAGAAATCTGAGTATGTTTGGCATGCGTTTCGCTGACATCTGCCAAATGTAAGATGATACCCCAGGACTAATCTGCTGCAATTATTCCCAGACAAATGATAAGGAGTGAAGTGTTGGGATGTGTCGAGTGGAGCTCGGGAACAGCAAGCCCGAGAAAACCAGGCATACTTCAGACCTAGCCATGGGTGTTTCGATAAAATATTTACACTCCTGTGACACCCGACAATAGCTGTATTTCTCGACTTGAAGGCGCGATTCTACTTCGTCTTTTGAGAAGTATTATGGCAGTGTCTCTTTAAAAGGGGTACCAAGTAAGTACACCACCTAAATGAAGGCTCCTTACTGGGACACTTGTGGGCATGTTAGAGCCTGTGATGAGATGTCGGATGAGCTGTATACGTCAAGTGGTGTCCACCAAGGATGCCCACTCTCCATTCCTACTTAGTTTTATCATAGATGTTTTTATGGTGGTCTCCATCTCGATATCCAACTACACAGGGATTAACCTAATCACATGAGAATTTTCGGCAGACCTATCATCCACAGATAACATAGTCCTACCAGGTAAAGACTCTGACAAGATACAGAGTCTTCTGGACACCTTGAGTTGCAATTTGAGAATATTTGGTATGCGTTTCTCGCCACTCAAGCGGAAATTGTTGCTCCAGGACTGGTCTTCAATGGTACCCCGACTGATAATAAGTAGTGAAGTGGTTGGGCGCATTGAGCATTTCACATACCTGGGGATCGGGCCTGCCCTGATGAATTGGTCAGTGGCCGACGAAATCTCTGCACGGATACAAAATGCCCGATTGTCTTTTACCAGCTTACGCCATCTTTAGCGACACCGCGGTATGCGATTGTCTATTAAGGGTAGAGTGTACTGTGCTGTAGTTGGCTCTCTTCTACTCAATAGCTGTGAAACATGGGTATTAAAGGTGGAATACACGAGTAGGCTTCAGGTGTTTGACTACCGATGGCTTCTTAGCATAGGCCGTATATTGTGGTGTCACCACGTGAGTAACACAGAAGTCAGGCGTAGATTTTTGGGGAGGAGAGGTAAGACAGTTGATGGGGGTGTGAACTTTCGTAGACTGAGATTGCTGGGATGATTGTTACGTATGCCTAACCACCGTCTACCTCGTCACACAATGTTGACCGAAGTAGGTTCAGGCTGAAAGAAGGCTGAGGGTAACCAGACTGAGACATGACATCAATGCATGAAGTCGTTAACTGTTTGTTTGGGCCATTTGGGGCGACACAGATCAGCCGATGGCGTCCACTGGGCAAGAGAGACCAGTAGTTGGAGACTATGTGATATTGCTCAGAATCAACGTCAGTGGCACAGATGCATACACCCATATCCTCATCCAAACCGCTATATCTAATCTCACCATTTTCTCATTCTTCCTACCTCTTTTTTACAACTTTCTGCTTCCTTTGACCAATTTCTCTTTCGTTCTTCATCTTCTATTTTATTGCCTTTTTACTTGAAGCGCTGATATGAGACGTGGTAACTGTGACCGTTACGCAGTAATGCCTGGTCCCATGTTGATCTTGATGATGATGTATATATTTATAAAGCCCGAATGGGGTGGTTGCTGACGAAATCTCAGCTCGCATACAGAAACCCCGTTTGGCATTCACCAACTTGAGTCATCTGTGGGGACTGACTTATTACGTATCCGACTATCTATCAAAGGATGAGTAAATTGTGTGCAGTCTGTTCTGTCCTGTTGTATGGTTGGGAGACGTGGACGTTAGAAGTAGAAGACATTAAATGTCCAATGGGTATTGATGGCAGATATCTTCGTAGCATTGGTGGTACCACCATGTATGTAATGTTGAAGTTAGGTGAAGGATACTAGGTACGGAAAGTATGTCGATTGATAAAGTTGTGAAGTTTAGTCGTCTGGTGGCTTGAACATGTGATGCGCTTGTCGAGCCACCGCCTACTTTGAGGT